TTTCGGCCCGGCCCGAAAAATCACCGGAATTTCGGACCGGGCCGAAAGTCCGGGCCGAAAATTCCGTGGGCCGAAATTCATGGAACCCCTTCACCATAATCTCAGCATATTCTGAAAATGTCATGCAATTTGAATGTATCTGAACCAAGATCGATTTTTGAGATGGGAATTTAAGTACAACTGCATTGCTATATCTAATTGTGAACTATATGTTATTAGTTATTTGTTTTTTCTATCGAGTATGCATGTCTTAATAATGATCATTGACATGTTATTTAATTTAACTCAGACTACTAGATGAATTTTGCTCAACCAATGATCATTCAAAAATGAAAGCTTTAAAGCTAATGGTGGACATAATTTAGAGCAGTTGTATTTTCAAGTTTTCTTCTGGATAGTGTTAGCTAGCATGAATTTAAAAAAAAAATATTTGCGTTGCTGAATGAATTCTCTATTAAGATTGGTATACTGCAAGGCTCTGAAGACTGCTTGGATGAAGGTCTACAAAAATCGGGATCACCAAAACTAGTTTTCTGGCTTCCATACTTAGTTTTCCGGAAAAGATTTTTTCTGGTAGAGCAAAATGATGCGTTGCTGATCTCTCCATAGTCTTCCTTTATCAAACTGCATTCAATTCACAGAAGGTTCAAGGAGCATTTTTCTCTTGGTGTTTTTGGTAATTTCAATGTTTTTACCATGTTTGATCTCTCTAGAGACTTCTATAAATTGAAAGCAGTCCTATGAAGAAAGGTCTGGAAGTCTGAAAGCTGATTTTACGAGTCTTAGCTTTCCGCAGCTTCTCTCATCTAAGTCATTTTGATGACATCTACCGGCCTACCAAGCTCAATAGAAAATTCTTTCAACTGCACAAATGTTTTTTATCAGACTTTTGCTAGCTACTACCATCGACAAGAAATCTTGAATATACAGTTGCTCTAAACTTTTATCTGTCACTATAACTAATCATGAAGATAAGTGAAGGTTTGTCGTATTCATTTTATTTAATGAATTATGACCAAACTAGAAGAGAGATCGAATTGAGAAAGGATTCGAATGAGAGATTATTGAATGAGATCGAAACAGAGACTGCTGAAAAAAAACAAAACACACAACATTATGTCATTTTATTTCTTTAGCTAGTTGATCAGCCATTGTTTGTGCACGATTAAATGCTGACATAAGTGCATCCATATATGCACCACGTACACCTTTATTTTCAAGTTCATGTAAACCATAAATTGTTGTACCAGCTGGTGTGGATATATCATTTTTAAGTTCAGCAGGATGCTTACCCGATGTTATTAAAATATCAGCACAACCAAGCATTGTTCGTGCTGCTAATGTAGTTGCCAATTGACGTGAAAGACCAGCTTTAACTGCACCATCAGCTAAACCTTCAACTGCTGTACAAAAAAAAGCTGGACCACTACCAATTAAAGCACACATTATATCTAATTCAGATTCAGTAACATTACCAGCATAATAAGCAACTTTATCAAAAATTGATTTTAAATAAATTTCAAATGCATGATTATTTTCATTATTTGGTAATGATGAGATTGCATATGAACCATTACGTTTTGCTACATTAACATTATACATAATTCGAATAATATTTTTATCAGTATGTAACCATTGAGATAATGTTGAAATAGTTAAACCTGGAATAATTGATACAAATAAAATATTTGTTAAACGATCTTTGTCAATTTTTTTTTCAATTTCTTGACATATTGATTTTATTAATTTTGCTTTTACAGCAAATAATACAATATCACTATTATTACATAAAAATATATTTGATGTTGTCATGCGAATTGTATTACTAAAACGTTTTAGTGATGATTTCTCATCGTTTCCAGATGGACAACTAATTAAAATATGCATTTTTTGAAGATAATCTGCTTCGTGAAGTCCATCAAGTAATGCTTGTACAATACGACCACCACCAATGAAACCTAGTCTTATATTATCCATCTAAATTATTTGAAATAAAAAAAATTACATTAGATTTTCTATCTAATAAAAAATAAAGTATCTGATTTTTTAATTGGTTTTTTAAATAAAAAATAGAAAATAACAGTTATAAAGAAATAACACATATGCATTAAATTATACAAATGTATCCATTTATTTTCTTTTATGATGATGGATGAACTCTTTCAGCATGGAATATATCAATAGTCGTTTGATGACATGGACGAAGATCGAGATCATAATAACCAATAGATAGTTTAGCTTTGAATAAAACAAAAAATAATAATAATAATAGTAATGAAAAATAAAATTTAATAAGACTTACATTCTGGTGGTTTATAGAAATCAAGTCCTCGACCAATTTTAATTATCCATCCATTATTTAATCTATTAAAAAAGTAAAAATTAATTTGTTGATACAAAAAAAAAGGAACTGTCTAATGTGGACATTATCGAGACCAATCGACAGCGTTCACTTCACGGAGTTGTCTATTATTGAAAGATTTTCAGTTACAATTGCATAACCTCTGCAATCGTTTTTCGGCTGCACGAGGTGATCTTGTACTTCTTTTCAATGAATTCATTTATTCAAAATGAGAGATAAGTGTAATCTTAATAACTCGACCATCACAACACGTAGTAATCTATGGTTTTCAGTAATCGAGGGAAGAGAACTCCGGAGATCTTTTTCCCTCAACTGAAAGGAGGGTATTACACCGAGCAAGGTTCGTATGTTCGTAACTTCGTAAGTTCGTAAGTTCGTAACTTCGTAACTTCGTTCGTTCGCACAGAACACAAAAATGTTTGTATGAAATTCAAGATAGTGTTTACGGAATAGCCAAACAAACTTCGAAAATCTATACAAATTCTCAAATTATTTTTTTATTGAATTTACCAATTAGTGAGAAGCGAACTGCCACCGACCAATATCTTCATGGAACATGATATCCAGAAATTTTTAGATAATCTGTTTTATATATAAAACCAGATAAAAAAGGTGTAATAAACGATGCTAAAGTCACTTTTTTAATCAATCATTCTACCATAACAGT